CACGCCTGGCTGTGCGCACACACACACACACACACACACATACACCATCCACACGCCTGCCTGTATACACACCCCACCCACACGCCTGGCTGTGCGCACACACACACACACACACACACATACACCATCCACACGCCTGCCTGTATACACACCCCACCCACACGCCTGGCTGTGCGCACACACACACACACACACACACATACACCATCCACACGCCTGCCTGTATACACACCCCACCCACACGCCTGGCTGTGCGCACACACACACACACACACACACATACACCATCCACACGCCTGCCTGTATACACACCCCACCCACACGCCTGGCTGTGCGCACACACACACACACACACACACATACACCATCCACACGCCTGCCTGTATACACACCCCACCCACACGCCTGGCTGTGCGCACACACACACACACACACACACATACACCATCCACACGCCTGCCTGTATACACACCCCACCCACACGCCTGGCTGTGCGCACACACACACACACACACACACATACACCATCCACACGCCTGCCTGTATACACACCCCACCCACACGCCTGGCTGTGCGCACACACACACACACACACACACATACACCATCCACACGCCTGCCTGTATACACACCCCACCCACACGCCTGGCTGTGCGCACACACACACACACACACACACACACACCATCCACACATACACCATCCACACGCCTGGCTGCACACACACACACACACACATACCCGTTCACACACACATCAGCATCCCCCCTGGAGGACAGGCTTTGAGGCCAGAGGTGACTGTGAAGTCGACACCCACAAATCGCAGGGGGTGAGCCTCGCCGAGGGAAGTTCACCAACCACAGGGCGGACTGCGCTCGGGGACAGCAGCGAAGCCGCCAAAGTGAAGGCGCCTGTGCCCCAGGTCCTCCACGGGCTACGGGTTGGTCTGAGGTCAGAACTGGGGAGTCACTTAGGGAGGGAGCTGACCAGCTGAGGTGCCGGGGAGACCGGAGCCGGCGTCCATCCACTTCCAAAACCCCTTGCAGGTGCGGGCGGGGTTCTCCTGGGTGCCCAGCGGCCGCTTCATCTGCTCGATCTCCAGCTTGAGCGAGTTGAGCGAGCCGAAGATCTCCTCCATCCCGTCCGCGTAGTCCACGTAGCTCTCGCCCTCCCCGTCCCAGGGCTGCAGCCCCATCTCATCTCTAAGAACCCCCACTGCCCCTCACGGCGACCTCGGGAGCAAACGTCGACGAGAAACCGGCCAGTTTCCACTCCTAAAGCTGCCCCGTGAGCCCGGGCCTCGCTGGC